TCCTTGTGCTCCTGCAATTCCCGAGCAGCTAAGTTTGGAAATGAAACTGCCTGGCGGGTCAGCACAACCCCCTTTCTCCCCCTCCTCCTCCTTGAGCTTTTTGGAGCCCGTTATTTGCTTTATTTTTGGCTGTACACCCAGCTCTGGGACGCTCACACCCAGGGCTCCTCGAGGGGGCAAAGCCGGTGTGAAACTGCAGCTTTCCTTTAACCTTCCAGCCACTAGACTGGTCCTAAAAAAAAAAAAAAAGGTGAGGGAGCTGGGGAGGGATTTCTTTAAGGAGGTGTTAGTTATATTTTAAATTTATTTATTAATTTTTAATTTTTTTTTTTTTCCCCCTTGTGCCAGCCTGAAGCTGAATAAACCCGACAGTTTCTCCGAGCCCCCAAAAATCAGGAGGAATATTTTTCCTTCGGTGTCACTAATTAGCCTCCCACGGAAACTGATATAAGTAGAAAGGGAGCTAACGAGAGGGTTGTGCAGCCTTGCAGGACTCTGAGCATATTGCACGTGAGGGGGGTGTGGGGGGGAAGAAAAAAAAAAAAAAAGGCTTCATCTCAGCAACAAACTCCTAATTTTCGGAGTTGCCCGCACTTGGAAGCGCGGGGTATGTGATTTCTGCAAATTAAATTAGAGTTGGGAGCCGTGGTCGCTCTGATCAGATCTGTGTAAATAACGTTGTCCACAGCCTGTGTAGTCACCTCTGAAATGCTCTCTGGATATCAGCCTTTTCTTGTGCTCGAGTCAGGGTGGTGGTGCTGGATTTCGGAGCCTTTTCCATTTTATTCGTTTTGATTTTGTTCAGGGCTTTTTTTTTCTTCCTTTTTTTTTTTTAATTTATTTTTATTTTTTTTTAGCCCATTTTGACTCTGACAGTTTTTAAAGGTGAGGCTCATTTTTGTGAGGTTAAGAAGAAGGAGAGAGTCAAAGGTACCGTATCTTTCTTCTTAATTGTTTGCCTTAAGTCTAAAACATCTGAAAAACACCCTTAAAACGGTCTTAGAAGTAACAGTCGCTTAATTAATAAAAATAGTAACAGATTTAGCTTACCCTCTTTATGGACTTAACTTCAGGAAATTAGGCATCCACTCTGTCTCCTCTGGAATAATCAGCTTCTTATCTAATATATATGAAATGACCAAATACATCTTACATCATTTGCATCTTTAACTCAGGAACAATTGCTCAGAAAAATGGAAGCAACTGCTACGAGAGCAGAGAATCTTGTCGTTTTCAAGCCTTTAAGCCACCCCTTTATTTCCCTCTAGTTTGGCTTAATTTCCTTTTATTGTGTCGTTGGGGGGACGAGAATATACAATGCCATGGCTAATTGTGTTACTCTTCACATTAATAACCTGCAACTTTCCATCCCGACGAGCGAGGAGCACGGAAAAGGCAGAAACAGATGCAATTATTTGGTGCTGGCTAAGTTACTGTACGTGACCCAGGTGCTGGAGTACTATTTGCATGTGTTTCTCACCTTTGTTCACCCAGACACATGGGGATCTCGAGCTATTGCTGACTAATTGATAGTTGTAGTAACTGCTATAGGCTCCTTAGATTAGAAATGCATGCAGACGTGTGTCTTGATTCAAACATTAAGGAACACACACACTCTCACTTACTTACATGGGCAGAAAGTCTTCATACTATTAGAGGTGTGTGATGGAGATAGCAGGACATAAAACAGAAGAGAGAGAGACACAGAGGGAGAGAGAGAGACAGAGACAGAGAGATGGCATGCAGCATATATACCCCTACAAATAGTTCTAAAATGCGTTTGCAAATGCAGAAGTCTTCAGAACCATCCAACAGTTCAGCACACCCTTTTTATCTCTTCTCTGCGGGACGTCTCCATCCAGATTACTCGAAAAAAAGCGGAAAAGGTGAGAGCTCTGCCATCTTAGCTCTGAATTCATCTGATTTCCTTTTTTTTTTTTTTTTTTTTTTTTCCCCCCCCTCCTCTCCCCTTGTATTCCTCATGCCATTGTCCATTCTTATGATGGCAGCCGCCCTTGCTCTTGAATGCAAGTGTCACAGCGGGAGCAAAAAGGGTTCAGGGCTGCATTGTCAAAGCCATGGTTGCCTATTGTTTCTTAGCCTTTCACTGCTCTGCTTTTCCGAGCCTCTTTCCCTATCAGTGGCCCCTGTCAAGGGGAGGAGTAGGGAGAAAATTGCAAGAGTTAGTCGTCCTTTTTATTGCACACTGTTATGATAAACAGCCCAGCAATACATCCCACAAAATTAGGAATTATAACGACGGGACGGGATGGGGGGGGGGGAAATAATTCTATGTAAGTTTTTTTTTTTTGGCGTTTTGTCGCTGCCCTTATGTGTCAAAAGCTTGGTTTTCCTTAGGAAAGACTTTTGTTATTGGTGTTTTGCCCAGCAAAAAATAGAGGCAGCTGCAAAGTGAACAGTGAGCTATTTAGCCACAAGGTAAAAATTTCCTGTTGCTATTTGGATACTGATGCTTTTCAATTTTAAGGGTGTGTGGGGGGGAGGAAGCATGACTGAAAGCATTTCTCTAGCTGTCCATTCATTCATCCATCCATCCATCCATTCATCTGTATTTCATGTTTTAAAGGAGATTGCAAATGATTTTTTAAAAAAGGCCGGAGAGGCTGCTTGCGAGTTGGTTTTGTTGGGGAAAAAAACATCTCAGGGTAGGATGAGGTTTGTGTTTCAGGTGCTCGAATCTTGTGCTGGGGGAAGGAAAGGGGAACGACCGTCCTGCTCGTGCCAGAACGTGCTGGTTCGTCAGGTCATCTAAAAGTAAAATCTTGTCACAATTTCTTCCTTTCATGGGGGGGGAAAAAAAACCCCAACAATATAGACAGGACTTTAAGTGACATTTAAGCATGTGTTTGATTGTCTTGTGTGCACCAGGCCAGCTTTGCCAGTGCTCCAAACTTCAGGGAGGTTACAAAGTCGTGGCCTCGAAAGTTGTTGTTTTTTTTTTTTTGTTTTGCTGCGTTTGATATCAAATTGTGTAGAGAATAAAATGATTTCTGAAATATGGCTTGCAAGGAGAGTTCAAACATATTTACGTGTTCAAGTTGGAAATACTCTACTGATTTCACTTTCAGTATTTTTTTTTTCTACTTTAAGAAAGTGAAAGAGGAGCAAATGCAATTTCGTTTATGCTTTTAACTGTTTCCGTAAATAGGAGCATCTTTTCAACCCTTAAATTTATACTTACTGTCCTCAGTGTACAGTATATTTAGCAGTTAGGGGATTTATTTTTTAGAGGTCTATTATTACGTTATTTTGACTGAGCTATTCTGTGATCACAAATTATTAAAAGAAAACGCTACAGACCGTTGAAATATGTGCTTCTTGAGCCTGAATATCTAAGTCATTGCAAATGTCTAGTGCTATTTTGTCTTGTCTAATAATACCAGGCAGAGTGCTTTCACAGATGTAAATATGGTTTAAGAAGCTTGCAGGGAAATACTCCTTAAACTGCTGCACAGTTGGGCTCTTGTTTTGGTTGCATTTCAGAATATCGAGTTGTCTGAGCCTCCCAAATGATTGTTGTGAATTTAGTTTGAAAGAGAGGGGCGAGATATTTCACCTGAATTCACTCTTAACTCTCAGAACCCCGAAACAGGAGCGATTTGGTGATTAAATTCTCTCATTCCATCCCACAGACAACTTGCTTTACCTTTCAGTGTTTTTTACACGTATATATCGTCCTGCACCGCCACGTTCTAGGTCAAGTGTGTGTCTGTTTGGAAGATCTTTAGGTTTGAAACTTTTTGAAGAAACGATGAAAGAACTCCTGGCCTTGTTTTAAATCAGGCTCTGAATGCAGCCCAGGCCACCCTGGGAGCACAATGTTTAATTTCCATTCGACATCTGCCTTATATTTCCCATTGCAGGCCGGGCTCGGCGTGGAAGGGGAGCGCTTATCGTTGATAAAAAGTTTGGCATCTCTTTTGTCAGGGGTTGTAATTTCTGTTCTCTCAATCTGGACTGTCATTTTGTAAAAAAAAAAAAAAAAATCTTTTGTCACCGGGGGAGCTGAATGGAAAACCTGGAATGTGTAAGAGATTAAAGAAATGGGGGAAGAGGATTGGAACGTGTGGAGCGATTCCGAGCGCTCTTGGCTCTCGGAGACAGATGGTGCCTAATCCTGATTTTTCCTTATTCCAGTGTAAATTCCGAGCTGTCCCACTGAATCCACTGCTGAATACTGATGAATCAGAATCAGGCCTGGCTCATTTCTTTGCTTTTTTTGAGACTGTGGGCTTATCTGGCAGTGCTTTATGCATGCACAGCTCTCATTTTACACTCCTGATGAGAGATGCCCACTGAGTGACTTGGTGCTGATTGCAAACACAGGGGTGTAAATCCTGGCTTTCACTCATTCCTCCTCCTTTAGACGTGCTATCAGTCTGACCTTCCAGGATCTAGGAATAAATATTTGAATAACTTGATGTGTTTTCTTTAGGTAGGTCCGGGGAGGGGAAATATTATCCTCTCCAAAGGGCTGGGGTGGAATTTTGCATGTCTGGACATTCCACAGGGGCAGTGGGAATGGTGGTGGTGGTGGCTGAGATGTCAGGTCTGTCCTGGGAGAAAAAGAAGTTTATTCAGCCCAAAGGCAGGAACATTTGGCCCCACAGACTTATTTTTACTGCAAAAAAAGGTGATCCAGGGGGATTGACTGTTACAGCCTGGGGATTGAGAGAACTGTTTCAGGTAGAGAAGGGAAAACTTCACTCTGTGTTTAATTTTTTTAAGTGGATTTTTATCTCCTTATTAATCAAACCTACCTGTGTTCATGTTGATTTTAATGTAGGAAAATAAAAAGGCTTTTTTTCCCCCCTAGATCCATCCTGTAATCCGAGGATGAAATGCTCTGTGTGCAGTGTCAGCTCAGGTCCCAGGCACCTATTTAACTTTTCCTTGTGGGATTTCAGTGAAGCACAACCCTCATAGTCCTGCTCTACATAGGAATAAATGCATCTCTCTTTTTCTCCCCCCCCCCATAGGAGTAACTTGATGACTTCAGTGGGAATTGCTCTTAAACAAGAGAGAGAAAGGGTCACCTGGATTCTCCTGGAGATGGGAGTCAGGGGCACAAGTCTCCAGGAAGGCACAAGAAGAGGATCTCAAATGCTGCCTCTTCTCCAGAGGCTCCATCCCACATCGAGGTCCAGGCAAGTATTGTTTCCCCTGGTTGGAGCTTTACTGGTGAGTCCTTACAAGGGTTTGCTTCTCACACAGGGAAATGGTGTCACTGAAGTTTTGTTTCATAAAAATTTGATGAGAATTTGCTTCATTAAGCAGAGGGTGGGTTCTTGTGCCCCACAGGCCAGTGTGGCATTGCACTCTTAGGGAGAGTTTATATGGTCCTAGCCAGGAAAAGCTGAACCACTGGATTATTAAGCTTTTGGTAATTCCAGATCCATGTCCTGTTACCAGCTGAGACACACAGAGGTAGAGCAATCTCACTTGAAATCACTGGTTAGGTGACCCTCTGCATTTCCAGGCCTTTTGGGTTTTACAAAGCACCAGAACCAGGCCATTGGAGTGAATTTTGTGTCCAGGTGGGCTCTGCATGCCATGGGTGGCATCTGCCCCAGGGATTGTCACTGGTTTCCATACCACTGTTTATAGAATTAGGTATTATTTGAGAGGAGCAAAGCAATTCCAGCTTGACAGGTAGAAAAGAGGTTGGTTACAGCCCTGTTCGAAGTGGAAGAGTCTGAAATAAGCCATGAAAGAACATATTATCTTCCACTGGGAAAAGCCTGCATGGAGAGACTCATTTAGCCATGGGAAGCAGGGGGAGAAGTGTGGAGTGAAAGACCAACCAGGCAATTACTCTACTAATGGGTGAGATGAGGTTGGATTTCAGGAAATCAGTGCAAATTTGTGGCTAACTATGTCTGTTGAAAAGATTCTGAATGCAGAGAGTGTGAGGGGACGTTTTCCTTATCTGATGGAAAATGCCCCAGTGTTCAGCATCAGTGGGATGTTGAACTTTGTCAACATCCTGACTGCTCCAGGTGCAGGCTGGGAGATGGAAGTTCCTGTCAGGGACTCTGTCCTGCTTGGGATGGTCTTCCCTGAGCTTGAGACAGTTTTGTGCTGGCAGCTTTCACTCCTCCTTGTTCAAAATGTGACTTAGAGTTTAAGCAAACCAGAACTTTGAAAGTCATTGTGTGAGCACAGCAGAAAACTTCCATGTGAGAATGTTGGCAAGGAAGAGAAGGGGTTTTTTTAATAATTGTTGTTTCCTTTGTAACTTGGGGCAATTGCTGTATTTTGGTGCTGTGTGTCAGAAGTTCCTCATATGCTCAAATGTGTCTTAATTCAGATTTCAGAGCATCACTTCAGCTTTGCAGGATATCCCTTTCCCACGAGGTGATTTGGGTAGGAAAGCTATTTGTGGTATAACTTCAGTTTTATTCAGACACTTGAAATCTTCTCAATTGCCTTCTCCAGCCTGTGCATGGAATTCCCACATTTATTTACATGAATGCACTTTTCTGCACCAGAGCAGTCAGTGTGGAATTGTTGTGCATGTTCTGAAGGTTGTGGACACTGTTTTGTTTCTTTACATTGATTTTGACTGTGATGAAAAACTCAACCTGAGTGTGAGTCACAGGTGTAAAAAGGGCAAGTCTCACAGGTTGTGTTTTTAGCTGCCACTTGTTCCTTTGGTTTTGCAACGTTTTTTTATCCATGGTTTGAGAAGGGACTGATGTCTAATGTCATTTAGAGAGTTTTGGATTAGATATCAGGAGGAAGTTCTTGGCTGTGAGGATAGGGAGGCCCTGGCACAGGTTGCCCCATCCCTGGAAGTGTCCAAGACCAGGTTGGAGCAAGCTGGGACAGTGGAAGGTGTCCCTGCCCATGGCAAGGGGTGGCACTGGATGATCTTTTAGATCCCTTCCAGCCCAAACCATTCTGGGATTTCTGTAAGGTGCAGAGGCCTGTTCAGGGCTTTATCAAAGGGAAATGGAGCTCTGCACTGTCAGGATTTCCCATCCTTCACAGGTTCTTGTTATCTTGTCCAGCTTCATCCTGTTCTTATGTGGCAAAAGGGGGAAGGAATGAGATCAGAGGCTCCATGATCTGCTGGGTGAAGGGGGAGCATCATCAGCTGATGCACGGGGGTGATGGAGCCCCAAGCACCTGAGGAATGTGTTGGGTTGGGTTTAGGTGCTGAGAGAGCAACAAACAGTTGCCAGTCACGTTCTTCTTCCTGCAGAATTCACCTCAGGCTTTGTTCCTGGTTATATCTCCCCCCGTTCTGCTGTTGGTAACTACCTGGATACCCAACTCTGGTTCACATCCCTGCCTGTGCACGGAAAATCCTTCCAGTTTCTGCCAAGTCATCACCTTCTCAACATGCAAATCCCTCCTAAAACCTCCCTTCTTTGGTATTGACCACATGAGATGATTTATTCTTCTAATATATCTGCATATTTGTCAAGGCTGGAGATAGATGAGCTGGACAGTGGGCAGGGATCTAAATGAGCTGTGTGGTATTTTCACTGCAAGCAGGGTTCTTTTTTCCTCATTTATTTGACTTTCTTGTTTTTGTTGTGAAATAAGCTGATAAACTGCTTAAGACATCATGTCAAGTGATTTCAGTTATTCTTGTTCTGTGTTTTGAATTCTGTATAAATAATGGGTGAGTGATAAAAAAAAAAAAAGTAAATTGATTCAGGTACAAGCTGCAGCTCAGAAAAACACCCAGTTGGCATTAAAATTCAGCTACAGGCAGTGGGAATCAAATGGTGGTGGTGGTTACCCAGAGCACCTTGGCCTAGGGGAAGGTGTCCCTGCCCAGGGCAGGGAGGTGGGAGGAGATGAGTTTTAAGGTCCCTTCCAACCCAAACCAGTCTGGGATTCTGTGTTGTGAGTGTTCAGCAATTAAATATATATACAGCAAGGTAACACATCAGGCAGCACATCCCCTCTTCCTTGAGGGTTGGATGGATGTTCTTTAATGTCATGTTCCATTCTTGGCCTCATAGTTCAGTCAGTGGGACAATATTTTGTTCCTGAGGACTCTGGGCCCTCTTTGGAAGCCAGAAGGTGATGGAGAAACCTGAACCTCTGGAAATGATTTGTAAATGATCTTTTGGACCATCTGCTCCTCCCTGGTTTAGGAATATTGAGAAGAGTAGCTCAGACCAGGGACTGGGTGACAAACCTTCCTTGTTCTGAGGTCTGAACCAAACTTGTTGTGGCTGAAGATGACAGGGGGAGTTTCCCAGAATTCCTGTTGTCGTTTCAGTGCCGTGTCCTTCATCACCCAAGCTGTGATTAATTGCAGCAGGGCTGCTTTAAATTTGAAACAGGCACCACAGGCTGAGCTTTCCCTTAAAGTACAGATCAGATGGGGGCTGGCCCTGCAGGACTTGAAAGATTACACATCTATTTTTAATAATATTATATATTATAATAATATAAATATAGCCATTCAATAGATATATTTCTATTGAATAGCTATATTATATATTATATATGATAATTATACAAATATATCTATTCAGTAGGTATATTTCATTTAATAGCTATATTTATATTATATATATAATTATATAAATAGATCTGTTCAATAGAGCTATTTCTATTGAATAGATATATTCATATTATATATTATAATAGATATATTCATATTATATATTATAATTATATAATAAATCTGTTTAGTAGATATCTTTCTACTGAGTAGATGTATTTATATTCTATATGATAATTACATAATATATCTATTCAGTAGATATATTTCTACTGAATAGATATATTTATATTATATATGATAATTATAGAAATATAGCTATTCAGTAGACATATTTCTATTGAATAGATACATTTATATAGTTATATAAATATATATAGTTATATAAGTATAAACATAAAATATAGTTATATAAATATATCGTTACATAAATATAAATAGAAATTTATATGACTAGAAATATATCTATTCAATAGAAATATTGAATATATTCAATAGTTATATATAATATAATTATATATTATATATATTATTTATAACATTATATTGAATAGTTATATTTCTATCTAGAAATAGATATATTTATCTAATAGATACACATTTATACATGTAAATAAATACAAATTATTTGTTATACAATTAGTCCCCACTCTTCCCAGCACTTGTGGCTGTGCTCATGGGAGTGATCCAGTTGAAGTCACAGCCAACTCCATGTGGGTCCAGTTGTTCAAACATGTTTGTGGAACCCACTGGTACGTGTCTGATGTGTGTCCCCTTTTACTGGCAGCTTAATAAGTGCTGCTGACCTGTGTCTTGCCCTCTCACACACTCAAGCAGCCCCAGAGAAACCCGAGTTTGTCTGGCCTGTTGCTCAGCCAACCTCCCCTGGGACCAGATTTTCTGCCTCGTGAACTGGATCCGGCCCCTGAACTCAGCAGCTGGATATTCCACCCGCTGGAATGTGGGGGGAACAGGCTGCAGAGGGGCTGCTTGGGATGCTCAGAGCAGGACCAGCCTGGCTGATGCAGAGGTGAATTGTGCCATAAATGTGTTTTTTAGGGGTCTGTGTTCCTGGAGCAGTGCTGAGCATCGAGGGGATTGTCCCTCTGTGCTGTGTGTGCAGGGAAGGGAAGGGAGCTGGGAAGGGGCTGGAGCAGCAGGAGCAGCTGAGGGAACTGGGGGGGCTCAGCCTGGAGAAAAGGAGGCTCAGGGGGGACCTTCTGGCTCTGCAACCCCCTGACAGGAGGGGGGAGCTGAGGGGGAAGTCGGGCTCTGCTACCAGGGAATAAGGGACAGGAGGAGGGGGAATGGCCTCCAGCTGTGCCAGGGGAGGGTCGGGTTGGACATCAGCAGGAATTTCCTCATGGAAAGGGTTTTCAAGCATTGGCAGGGGCTGCCCAGGGAGGTTGGGAGTCCCCACCCCTGGAAGTGTCCAAGAAATGCCTGGACATGGCACTCAGAGCTCTGGGCTGGGGGACAAGGTGGGGATGGGGCACAGGGGGGACTGGATGATCCCAGAGGGCTTTTCCAACCTTAATGATCCTGTAATTCTCTTATGCACCACCTGAGTGCCCAAATCTCAGAGGAATTGGATCTGTCTTGGCTCTTAGGCTTTGAACCTTCAACTCAGGGTGTAAAGAACAGCTGGTTTAACTTTGCAGGTCCTGGGTG